ATTATTTACAATATTGGCAGTAGCGCCACCTATTGGCGTTAAGGTTGGAAACTTAGAGAGGGAGCCATAATGATGATGAATGAATAAAGGCAGAGAACCATATGATGAGTTCTAGTGTTTGTTCTTCATTTGATGTATGCGTAGTTACATGATATACTACTGACAGTACAACATTACAATTAATAACCAGGTTATGACTTCTAAAATTTATTTATCATAATTATAATCTGTTTTCTTTTAGTGAATTACCCAGACAAGGACTTCTAGACCTCCAGTCAGCTAACACAATGTGCCTTGACTTGTCCCGCCAACACAGTGAAAAAGTTATGACTAGTTTACTCATCAAAAGTGATATAAAATTGAAGGAGCTTCTTACAGTGAAACAATAAGTCGATTAAAATTTGTGGTCTATTTTTTAAACATAGTCTATCAAGTCTTATATGTGAACATTTGTTTAATTTTTAAAGTGTTCTGGATTAATCTGTGTTGTAACTAAATAAAGATAGAGAAAAACATTCTTTGTCTGTTAACAGACATAAATATTACCATTGCTATATATGCCTAGCATAGGCCCTAAATTGGCTGGTAAATAGTTTAATGATTTTCACAGTAAAACGTCTGTACATCAGCAGAAAAGAAATTATTATACTCTGTCTCATGCGAAGTTGCTATCATTATTGCTTTCAATTCAGCAAATTCATTTTTAATGAATTTGTAGACTTGCTGAAGATTTCACCACGTATTGTGTATACAGTATTTATATTGTGGATTAAAAGTGATAGTAATACAATGCAGTACTTAAAAGTGGCTCCATTGCTATAATTACGTAAAACATTGTTTCATTTTATAGACTAACTGCTAAATCTGTAAATGAAATACCAACTGACAACTATTGAGAAACAATGTTTATCATGATGTGAACTATGGGCTTCAAACCCAATGAGGGCGCTCTGCTGACTGAGCTACAGAAATTCTATTAAATTTTATTTACTCATAAATTTGGATTCAATGTCACTTGTATTGTTTGCGTCTTTCTTTTTTATTTATTATTTCAAATAAAGTATTCTTTGTTCTTCATGTCCATAATAATAGCATAAACGTACAAAATAATTAATACAATTTACCTTGTGTGTATATTTTAAGATTGTTTCATCCTCATCATGGTCATCAGCATCATCAGGCCAATCAAATACTTATGCGTTGCTCATGCACAGGAACATTTGGATGGTCAGTGGGAATGTTTCTCTTACAGTATTAAGGGCATGCCTAATTCAAGGGTTATTGGCTTGATACAATGCTACTTGCAGGTCTGAAATCAATAGCAAATTTATCTAAAGCATAAAAATTTCCTATTTAAATACACTGAACATGTATTTAGTAAGTCGGAAATATCAATATAGATCTACAAAAACAAAAATATGTAAAAAAAAAATGTAAATGGACCTAGAGGGCTTAATGTCATTGGACTATTGTATTACCCACCCAAGTTTCATTAGTATCCATTGTAGGCCAAAGCATAATATAAACGTAATGTCATCTTCCCTGGTCTGACCTCTCCTGATTTTTGATAACCATAGGAAGGAACCTGGATTTCCGCAACCATACGTCATAGGTGTGTATTGTTTTATCATAATTTATGCTCACACTTCCGCGCGGAACTACGCGAAATTGGTACGCAGTCATCTGTAAAATCACATGACTTAATAAACATGCAATCCTATCACGATTTTTAAAAATGAAAGTGCAGACGGTAATAAAGGTCATAATTTGTTATGAAGTTTACAATGGATGGTTGTTTTGTAGGGTTAGAAACATAATTATTTTGGAGCAATTCTCGTGAAATATGTTGAAGCACCGACCTTACATTCGAGGATACAGAGACTACGGGAATAATGTCCGTCTCACTGGCAGTAACTCTAAAATGTGATGCCTGAAAGCGCAGATTACTTTCTAGAAACTTGTTTACAAAATACTAATGATTTTTTTGCAACCGAAAGAGGAAGTGATAAGTCCACACCTGATAAAATTTGTACTTTCGATCATACTTGTTTTTCTGTCCATATTGCTTGTAGAATGTATTTATTCTTTGTAAACAAAGAAGCCCGCTGCGTTTGTTTAAAATTATCTTCGTCATCATCATTGTCATCATCATTCTGTTAATATCATCATCATCATCATCATCATCATCATCACTAGCATTATTATTATTATTATTATTATTATTATTATTATTATTATTATTATTATCACTCTTATTATTTTATATTGATAATAATTATTATCCTCATGGTGTTATGGATCCTAGCTAGTGTTGACGTTAATAACAACGATACACAACCCAACTCCGATATTACAAATTGATATACAGTACATGAAAATAAGAAACATTATAACACATTAAATGAAATGTACATTGTTTATGTTATGTGTATAACAATATTGCCTGTCATTATGTGGTTTTTGTGACCTTTGCATTGAATAAAAATTGACCTTATGTGTACGAACTTTAGTATCCAGAGCAAGGTAAGTGCATATTTTAAGAACCACCCGTATCTTTGAGCATCCGGCCATCTCTAGTAGTATTACTTCCGTGACATATCATGTAAGCATAAAAAGCTAATAACTACAAATCTACTCCACACTTGTTCCTCGCCAACCATTGCAGTTGGAGGTAGAGAGAAGAGATCGGCAGAAACAAAAGACCGGAAGACAGTACTGAGCCAAATATTTACTCATTCCATTCCCAGAATAACGAAATAGGAAGATGGTAAGTTATGTGGAATGTATGTATTGTTATAGTGTATACGGTATATAGTATGTTTATGTGTCATAATCAGTTTTGTGGTTTGGTTGCTAAGTTTCTTTCACATTTGAGGCGTGGCATGCACAATTATTTCTTTACAAGTTAAATATTGCTAAATATTATGCTAAATATGACAAATTCATATTTATCATACTTGAATTTGAGTCGCATGCTCTCTAATTCCAAGTTTGGTTTGTTCTGCGCGTATGTTGTCGTATACATACAGAATTTTGACAATGTATCATATAAGCTTAATGTAGCAATGTTATCACCTCATATAGTTAAGTATTTACATTGTCCACTTCCTACTAATTTATCTGCAGAATTTCTAATAAATCAAATTTAAATCATTTAATGCTGCTTAAATTTATTTTCAAAAATATTTTGATAAACCATGGTTTATCGAAACCTCTTTAAAAATTAGCTAATGGTTTTATATAGGCCTATTTAATTACTAAATTCAATTTTATCAGCATAATAATAGGACTAACGATGATAATAAGAAATAACAATTGCAATAATAATAATAATAATAATAATAATAATAATAATAATAATTATGATGATGAGATAATTAAGATCATGATACGAATATAAAAGTACTGTCGGTGGTAAGCAGGTAGGCCTATTGTTATTGATTTGATAATAACTGTATATTATTTAGTGTTTATAATTATCAGGATTAATAAGAATCTCTTATCAAAAACAACAGAATTTAAATAATAATAAGACTTATAAAGTGCACAAATCCACTGTAGTAGTGCTCATAAACACAATTTGTTTGACAAAATAATGTCCGAAGCTCTGTTCGGATAATCAACATTGTTTTGAAAAATAAAAACAACTGTTGTCTGCCTATAATATAGTCATGATGTGCCCAGTATATGGTAATGTTGTGATGTCATCGTGACCATATTTATGCATGTCACATGTATTTGTCAAATAAAATTTAATAGCCTGGACAGGGTTTGAGGCGTAAATTCACTAACATACAAAGAGAGTAACCAAACATCTGTCTTACAGACATTAGCTCTAGGTGAATGGACGGCCGGCGTAGGAAAGAAACTCGGTTGGAAAATCCAGGGTCGCATAATTAGATACGCTGGGTGCATCGCTGTCGTAAAATAATATAGTCCTACGTATTAAAATTTACGCAAGTTTCGATCTATCTTTACTAGAGATAACCTAGGCCTACATTAGATCTAATAGCAATTCTTTTGATAGTTTATAGTACTTAATATAGTTTTAATTTTACTAGAAGAATACGTTAATCATTTTTGAAAAACTTTTTCATAGAATATTGGTGGATCCATTGGTCATAAAAAAAAGAGTAATAATGGTGATTATAATTATTTTGCTGGTACTTGGATATGATTTATAAAAGTGTACTCTTACAAACCGATGCTATTACAAACTGTAGTTTCAAGTTGTTTGGCCTATAAAACATACTGCTCGCGTTTGTGTGTTTTATTAAACGTAACTTTAATATGTTTGAATTGGTTTACTTTCGCTCTCGAAAGCTTTGATACAGACTTCAAAGTAGATAGCGTTGTAGAAACATACACATAGTATTTTTATTGAAGGGTACATTATGATGAGGGCAGTTGTGTTTTCGCTCCTTTGTGCCTAAAAAAAGTTTACCAGCCTTACCAACGCCAGAGGGCAGCAGAGCTCTTGAGTGGACTTCCATCCTGTCAGGGCAGGGAAATTGCTATTATAAGAGCATGTAATTGTGTTAACTTAATTTAAGAACTGGAAATAGACAGGGCTGACTCATTCCACAGACACATATCTCTTCCTTTCATTCCCTCTTTGCTGGTGGATATCCATAGAACGGTTTGTAGCGAGTGAACAAAGCATAAAGAGACTATAGCATGCCGAAAATGGTTAGTTTGCCTGCAAAAATACATTTTGTGAATATGCAGACGTTGGTACCAAGATATAGAGTTCGACAAAAATTATGTGAACTATTGTAATTTGATCTTTTCACGGAATTATTTTATGTTTTATATGTAGGTATGACCTAATGGTTATGCCTACATACGCATAATAGATATGCTATTACGACTAATCAAATAGCGATCAAAAGTCATAAAGATGTAAGGTATAGTAAACTGGATTTCCACGAATACATTAAGTGAAATATGTATTTTCTTTGCATTTCAGCGAGAAGTAATTTCTGTCCATGTCGGCCAGGCCGGGGTACAGATGGGCAATGCATGCTGGGAGTTGTATTGCCTAGAGCATGGGATCCAGCCTGATGGTCAAATGCCGAGCGATACATCCATAGGCTCATGTGAAGATTCTTTTAACACATTCTTTAGTGAGACCGGTGCTGGAAAGCACGTACCACGAGCTGTGTTTGTTGATCTCGAACCGAGTGTCGTAGGTAATGTATTGCTTAGTTTTCTATACTTTGTGATAGTTATATTGATACGTTTTTAAATTTGATTTGGTCAATGAAAAACGATTATAATACTTTTTTACTTTTCGTATTTTGTTATAAATCGGTAATTATTTAATTTCAAATAAATTGTATTAAAGTAATATTAGCATTTGCGAGAAATATGAAAATAACATTGACAAGTTTATGATAGTTACCAGTGACACTTCTGACAAACCCATGAACCGTAAAAACGTCAGTTCAGCTCCACTATGTGTGAGCGTTTCAGTCAGTTATTTCATGAGAGAAAGTGCCTTGGTGTTAGCGTTCGAATCCCACTAGAGACACCTTTTTTCATGCAACGCTAAATAAGAGCCTTTTTGTTGAAGGCTTCACACCATTATAATACTATGCTTCTGTTCGAGCACTTCTAATTATTTATCTATTTGTTTATATTGTGTTTACGGTGCTACGCACAAACAAAATTTGAATATTATTTACTATATATATATATATATATATTTTAGTTTAGTTTATTTATGTTTAAAATATCATACAAAGAAGGGCCTTTGTTAAGTAGGAAACAGGATGTGAAGATGAAAAAAAAAATGAATTGCGCCACCATCGATAGTCCAATCCGGAAACTTGGATAAGTAATTATTAATGAGTTTCTTCCGTTTGTTGACCTACTTACCCAGTGGTAAAGTAAGATACTGTATTGTTCTTTACTCTTAGATGAGATCCGTACCGGTACATACCGTCAACTCTTCCATCCTGAGCAGCTGATCACCGGCAAAGAAGATGCCGCCAACAACTACGCCAGAGGCCACTACACAGTCGGAAAGGAACATGTGGACTCGGTGATGGACAGAATAAGAAAGCTGGTAACATTGTAGACTTCATTTCATTAATTCAATATCTTACGCGGCAAAGTACTATATGCCTTAACACAAATGAATAATCGATTAGTGTCATAGAACCTATAAATATTACCGTATTGTTTTAAGGCTTGCACGATAAAGTAACAATAATACCACGTATTTATAAAGATACAGTACCGGTACTGTTGCGTCGTGGAGAATGTCAGGTTTCGAATATACTATTCTATAATACTACTTTTAAAAAAAAGAGGGTCTGTGTTTTGAATTCACACTAAACCCTATATACTGTAGATTATTCTCCTTACCCTACTCAACGGCGACATGAATATATAGGCCTATTACCGTATTTCATAATTAATTAAGTGCGCACCGGGCACCCAATCATAAATACGTTTCAACAGTGATTTTTTAAAATGTTAATTTTATATTGTGTCGTACTTTTAATTATTCAATTCAAACTTTTATTGTTTCAAAAGCCATTATGCGCTATTTGCCTGCCAAAACATTACTGATAAAAAATACTAAGGACAAAACAAAATGTATATGTCCTGAAATTCTTCTGCAATTGCAGACATTTTTAATCTTGAACGTTTTTAAGAAGGTCTTTAACATTGAACAAAATATCTGTATTATGTAAATTACTCGACAATCCGATACTTCCATAGATTTACTGGCTTCTGTTTTAAATTTTAATCCATATGCAATTGTCTAATTAGGCTGACCAGTGTACCGGTCTTCAAGGATTCCTCGTCTTCCATAGTTTTGGAGGTGGAACTGGATCAGGATTCACGGCGCTGCTGATGGAAAGGATCTCCGTCGACTATGGAAAGAAATCTAAGTTAGAGTTTGCGATCTATCCAGCCCCTCAGGTTGCAACAGCTGTCGTAGAGCCATACAACTCCATCTTGACCACTCACACAACCCTCGAGCACTCTGACTGTGCCTTTATGGTCGACAACGAAGCCATCTACGACATCTGTCGAAGAAACCTCGACATCGAAAGACCAACCTACTCCAATTTAAATCGACTTATAGGACAGATTGTTTCTTCTATTACTGCATCACTTCGATTCGATGGATCTCTAAATGTTGACCTGAATGAGTTCCAGACTAACTTGGTTCCGTATCCACGAATTCATTTCCCGTTAGTGACGTACTCACCCATCATATCAGCTGAAAAAGCATATCATGAGCAAATGACAGTTGCCGATTTAACTAATGCATGCTTTGAACCAGCTAGTCAGATGGTGAAGTGTGATCCTCGTCACGGCAAATACATGGCTTGCTGTCTGCTGTACCGTGGTGACGTCGTGCCAAAGGATGTCAACCAAGCGATTGCAGCAATCAAGACCAAAAGGACCATCCAGTTCGTCGACTGGTGTCCAACTGGTTTCAAGGTCGGTATCAACTACCAACCGCCAACTCCTGTACCTGGGGGTGACTTAGCCAAGGTGCAGCGAGCCGTGTGTATGTTAAGCAATACAACAGCCATTGCAGAGGCATGGGCTCGTTTGAACATGAAGTTTGATCTGATGTACGCCAAGCGTGCTTTCGTCCATTGGTATGTAGGGGAAGGCATGGAGGAAGGTGAATTTACCGAGGCTCGTGAAGATCTAGCTGCCCTGGAGAAGGACTACGAAGAGGTTGGCATGGATTCCATTGATGCTGAAGACGATGATGATGATGCAGAGTATTAGATTATGGCTGTAAATCACTGACACTTCAAAATATATTATATTTGTTTATACGAATATTTACGATATTATACGATATTTTAGCAACAATTGCCTAAATATTTGAGTATTTGTGTTGCCAAACCCGAATGACTATCGAAATTCTAGGGTCGGCCTTTTTTAGCAGCGAGTCCAAAACACTTGTATGGTGTTCTAAAGGAGCACGTATCACCTTTAATTAATCGATTTGATACAGTAACCATTTATATCACAGAGGTTATCTTTTTTACCAACCAAAAAATTCCTGGGGTGAGCTATGGAAAGCCGTCTAGACCGACTTCTCATGGAAAGTTCAAGTAGGCCTACAATTGTGAATATTAATGCTGAAAACAGATTCAGTCTATATCTTCAGTATTATCAGAGAGTATCAAATAAATGTTCAACAGGAAAAATGTTGAATTTATGTCTGATCCATAGATCATTATGCCAGCTGTCTCGTAATACTGGAATCTACACCCAAATGTAGGCCGCATGACACATGATTGCATTGTAGCCATTTGTCCCAGAGATGATACTCATGTAACCTGCATTCTCTATTCTCATAATATTCTCATTGAAGGCACTTTGATATGTTGCGGCAGAGGTTGTTAAACAGATTTTTAATATTCTGATTAATACAATATTTTGGAGATGATCAATTACAAAATGTATTTGCTGGTAGTGACATAGTAAATGTCTCTTACCATTTCATTGTTCGAACATAGTAGATAATGTAATTATATTGATTATAATACTCGCCACCGGCATATGGCCCCCTAAAGTGGTAGTAGTAACGCCTCTAACTTGGGGACTCGTGTAGGCC